GAGAAACGTTTATCTTTTATACATTCAATGCCTGGATTACAAATTTTCAAACTTATAAATTATAGTGTATATTGTTTTTCTCTTCATCAAATCCAAGAACGGCACACCTCTTAAAAAACCCTTTGACTTCTATGTGACAATAAAAGCAGTTAAGACGACTGTTGATAAAATGGTATGTTTTAAAGCTCAATTCATTCTAATAATTTTTCATTAAATAGTTTTTGTTGTTCCTGAAGATAATTTTGCAAATATTGACGAGCTGTGAGTTAGTGGTGAATTCTGTGATTACCGTCATCGTTTAAAGGTTCCGGAACAAGGCGGCCTATTTCAATGACATGATCGTCGGTCAACTCAACTGAACTTTCTGGGACAACAACCATATTTTCCGTTTCGATATCACCTACCGCGCCATCAAGATCATGGCCATATAAATTTACATCATCGATATTTACGTCTGTAAAATCAGTTTCATTAAGCTCAGAACGCCATAATGCTAGGGGCGACATACTCCGCATAGTTCAAAGTCCATGGTGATTCCATTGGTTGACAAACTCATTGAGCGAGGCTTACATTGCAGGAATGTAAACATGGTGCAGAGCATACAAATCGATTTCATCGTGCGCATCTAGAAGCTCGCTTTCCTCCATAAATTGCAATAGATTTTTATAATAGGAGGAACTCTCTCTTTTCACCTTCGCCCAAAGACGCTCAAATCTTTGGTTATGCACGCTGCGTCCGGCTATGAAGCTTCCTCAGTTTAGACCTCTATTAGCTATCAAACCTTGCAATGTGTACATTTCCAACTCCACCCCACCCTATCGCCATCTTCGCACTTTGTTGGACAATTTAAGCAATTGTCTCATAAACCTGAAAAATTCAGGTGACTCGAAGATAGCTCAGTTGGTCAGAGCACTGCACCGGCACCGTAGAGGTCATGGGTTCGAATCCCGTTGAGTCATCTAAATTTTTCAGGTTTATGAGACAATTGCTTAAATTGTCCAACAAAGTGCGAAGATCATATCTACATTTAATTTCAAAAACCGCACTGCATAAAAGCATTCTTTCGTATGACATTCCTTTCACGAGAAAACATGCACCGAACAAAATTGACCAGCTCAGCACTGTGTGACTTCATAGCTCAGTTGGTCAGAGCACTGCACCAGCACCGCAGAGGTCATGGGTTCGAATCCCGTTGAGTCACCTGAATTTTTCAGGTTTATGAGACAATTGCTTAAATTGTCCAACAAAGTGCGAAGATCATATCTACATTTAATTTCAAAAACCGCACTGCATAAAAACATTCTTCCAAAAAAATTCTCGACTATAAAAAGTTGTCTAGCTGGACTATAAAACATCTCGATGGAAAAAAAATTCTCTACTACTTTTGTCCACTATGACTTTCCATATGTTAATACTGTTGTTCATTCGTTTCAACGTTCGAATTGCTCTCATGGTAATTTTGATAATTTTGAAATAAACACCGACAGTATTTGTTATTTATGTAAGTTTCGAAAAAAAAATACATTGTGCTTTCAGTGAAAAACACATTGTGCAACATCTATACTCGTGAAAATCTACACGTCAACATCTATACCCCACAATATCCATAACCATAAAATGCTTCCCCATCAAAATCTTGCCGTTAACACGTATATGTCTACCCATACACATGTTTTCCAGTTAACCAAAATACACAGTTTTGTAATTTTGTTTAATAGTTTATCAATTTCAAGGTACGTGTCCCTCAAAAAGTGCTATTTACTATAAAATAAGAAGCGTTACTCAAATAAATTGAAACTTTCAGATGTTTAACTTATTTAGATTGAACCCTTGCCAAGTGAATAATATCATTTATTAAGCGCACCGGAAAACCAAAGCAAATATTTCACCAAGACTCTTATATAACTGTTAACAAATTTCATCATATTTTCTTGTATTAAATCATGTCACTTAAATGATTTATCAAACATGGGTATTTACTGTATAGTGTAGTTTAATAAACAAATATTTTAACTTTAATGATCATTAGTATATTGGTTACAATTTAGCGAGAGTATTTATAGCTAAATATACCTGATGTACACATAATAGCAGTATCTTACAACAAATGTTCTATCAAAATAAATTCTATAATAATTCAGGAGGGATTTTTGATAGAAATGCAAAATTATACACGCTTTGATTAATGACTTTGAACTAAGAGTAAGGCATGTGTATATTTTTTATAGGATGAAGACCAATTTAAGAACGACTAACAGAAATGCTCATAATAAATCAAGGTCAGATAGTCATCTAATTTGAATAGGAAAGGGAGAGAAGTAAGGCCTGCTTTATAAGATATTATTTAATATCACACAATGGAAATAAATTGGAATGCTTAAAGTAGTAGCAACAAATAAGTTAAAATGCTTGATGCTGTACCATACTACGACTAAGGTCTTTAATTTTTCTAAAACAGGCATTAATCATGCTTGAGATAAGGTTAAGATGTCTAAAATATGTTGATTTTTTTGCTGGAGACACGACCGTGGGTAACAGAATTACCTACGTCAAATTTTCACCCAATTGTAAGTGTATACTGGGCAACATATCATCATACCACTTTAGTGAATGGCAAACTCACCATTTCGCCAGCAATTTGCCAATTTATGTTGGGTTTGCTAATATAAACCGAATTCGAGTAAACTTTTTGTGTATTAATGACTAATATTTTGAAAAAACACATCGCTAGCAAAAGTTTTTGTATGCATGTGCTACGTTTAAAGTGCTACTGAAGTGAAATTTTGGGTATCGATTTTTTTCTATAATCAAATAGTTCTATCTTTCCTGATCACTTTGGTATAATTTTTATGCATATTGAAGCACGGGATCATCAATAAATTTTTGCTCAAAGTTGGGTTACGCGTGCGAATTTTTACTACTGAAATATTATACGGATGTGACGTAATTAAAAGGACGGAAGTCGAAGTATGAGCATTGATTTACTAGTATTTTGACCAAATTTTCAAAAAAAAAATTATTAATTTTTTGGGAGCCTTAACTATTTAATTTTAAGACTTTGTCGTTTATATTTTGAAAAACATTATAAATTACGGCCAAAAAGCTTTCAAAGCTATGTTGTTTAAAAATTTACTCCATAGCAACGGCCTAGCAACGCATTTAGGTTGAGATTTCCTCAAAATTTTGTCGAAATATTGGTCAAAAAATTGTCATTTTTGTTTCTCCTTTTGGTGCATTGAATTCAGAGTCTTTTGACATAATTGTATTCTAATTGTTCCTTTGGGGAGCCATGGCAATGAAAGTCTTTTGTCTGTCTCGAGATCGATGCGTTTGCACTTCTGGCGAAGTTGTCTACAAATTTCTTAGTTTTTTGTAACATTTCAAGTGCTAAATTTGCTGCTTTTATTTCCCAACTATTGTTTTTGTTATTTTGTTGGGGGATTTGAAGTTAAATGATGGGAAATCCTCAAAATAGAGGTAGAAAACGGGTGAGAAAAAATGGCAAAGAAATGCAAAAATGGCGAACCTTGTGACAAAGAGGTTGGATCTTCCGGTGCGAAAATTGGTAATCAGACAGCAAATTTTGCTGTCCATTCCAACATTATAACAGAAGATACTATATTTCTGGACTTATCAGTTTTATTTATAGTCTTAAATGAGATTCTGAAATGTCCGGACGGTGGGAAAGCAATGAACTCACATTCGGAAGCAGACTGCGGAAACTAAAAACCTCGAACAAAGGGAGAAACCTCTCGGATGGTAAAGTTTTGTCTGGAAAAGGTCGGCTAACTACGCCAAAGATGGACATTCTTCGAAACTATTATGGTTTGGCAATAAGGGGAAACCTTAATAGTGTTGAAGAAATGGCCAAAGCTGCTAGGGCATCTCTTTTCTATGTTGCCTTCTCAGAGAAGAATCTTCAGCATCACATGTGTCCAAAAGGAAAAGATAGTTGGTGTGGCTACCTAAGAGATCACACCACCTACCAACACAAGACTGGTATTCCTGGGCCCATAGTAGAACTGATTGAGCCAATATTCAATGATCTAACTGACCCAGATTTGTTGAAGAAATGTACACATGGATTGACACAGAATCCGAACGAGTGTTTGAATGGACTCATTTGGGACAGATCTCCCAAGAAACTGTCTCTTTAGCAACATATTTGGCAGTGTTGAAGTTTAATGATGGAGACATCTCCTATATTAACATTTTTCATAATTTAGACATAATGCTTGGGGTATTTATGACCAAAGGTGCGCAAGACTCCGACAAAGCCAGGATAAAGTTATCAGTCCAAAAGAATTCCAAGCAAGTGAAAAGTAGGAGGAAGTCACTGAGGCATCTCAGAAAGAAGTTTCTGGACAATGCTGAAGACTTGGAAGGGGTAACTTATGAAGCAGGTAGCTTCTAAGCCTTCAAAGTTGTAGATGAACTGAAATGAAACTTTACATTGAATTTTCTCATTTTCGCAATTTAGCAATAGTCAGTGATTTTTGTGACACTATAAATTTGTAAATATTTTATGCAGAGGCTTGATATTTGGCATACTTACTAACTATATTATCCTCTATTATGTGACACTCTTGAATTTTTCATGCTGTTTATATTTAATGAATTAAAGCCAAATTTCGTTCAAATGTTTGCAATAAAAATGTGCAAAAATTGAAAAAGTTCTAAATTTCACTCTAAAATTTTATTTAAGATATTAAATGAAAATTAAACAGTGTCACATAATAGAGCAGGTTCTAAGCTTTTCAAAAATATATGTTTTATTTTTTTTTAACCACTGGTTCTTGAGTTATCATGTTTACAATGCGAAACAATTAAGTCTTAATTAGCAGCCGCCATTTTGGATAATTAGGCTAATTAACGAGTTTGTAAAAAAAATTTTCTTTTTGTCATTTTCTATCACCCATGCCTTTCAGAAAATGATATTTTTGCCTAAATTTACTTAAAAATAAAAAAAATTGTTTCAAGAGGTGATGACCACCTTAACACATATACACAATAAAATATGAGTTCTTCAAGCAGTGAAAGCGAACGCAGTTCGGATACTGAAAACTCAGATATGGCAAATGAAAATTTACTTTCGAATTCCGGCGATGAGGATACAATTGTGGCTAATTCAGTTGTAAATCCTTACGAAAATGAACCTCTTGCGAACGCAGTCGGAGAGAATTTTGTGTCGGTCGAAGAAGACGCAGATGGCTTAGAACCTCGAACATTGGAAGCGAGGTTCGAAGGAACCGTTCAGTTAGATAAGTGGTAAGTTGATAAATGTTATTAGAACTCTAGAAGAAATTAAACCATGAATTAAACATGTTATTTTTCCTTATGTCGTGGTGCATAAATATGATAACAAACCACTTTTTTATAGGTGTGCATGTAGCTTGTGTCGTACTCAACTGCTGACAGATGCCATTGAATACCGTTGTTGTCAAGAGGTTGGGCCTACTTTACATAAACTGGTATTCGATGGTAGCATTGAAAAAATTAGCTGTGTTACTCTTCACGAAGAGTACACGATTATGACACATGCTACAGTCTTGAAGAATGTTGGCTCACTTCTAAGAGACCAAGATGGAAGGTCATACAAGCGTCGTAGAATACATGAAAATGAGTTAGTACATTTTTGATTTCTAATTTTGTTTTGTAACGAATGATTAATATCTTGCCATGTATCTCTACTTTTTACCTTTATGTGGTTCATTATTGTGCTGTGATGCTTCACAATTTTGTTGTGTGAAGTCAAAATAAATAATCAAATAGAAATTACTATTTTGAATTTCTCATAGATACTTGAGAGCAGTTGCATACCGTTGGGTCATTCGATGGCTGTGTGGATGCCTTGGTTGGGAAAATTCTAGACCATTACCTGCATGTATCTACACAGACATCCGAAAACGATTTCCATTACGAAATCCCCTAGGCCAAGAACATGCTGGCTACAAGTCAGCACAGGAAAGAAACTGATAGAAGTAGGAAACATTTTTGTAGCATAGTATATTATTTTATAACTAACTTTAAAGTTGGCCTGCTAAGAATATTTGTCAAGTAATTCTTGTGGACAATGACTTTTGGATGTCCTTTCATTGGCTGTCCACAATTTTGCATAAGCGCGTTTTTTGGATCTGAAGGACCTGTTGAAGCAGCTTGTTTTTCTTTGTCTAAACCTTTTGCTTGCAGTACATCTTGCTGTTGATCTATAAATAACAATTTAATGTGTTTACTTTTAGAATGCACTGGCCATACCTATTATACATGGTAGCATGAACAACTTACATGTGGGAAACAATGGTGTTGAAGATAGTTGTTTCCTATCCAAATGCCGTTGGATTGCCTCAGTTTTGGAAATTCGATCCGAGAACGTTTTGTTTAAGGCTTCTGGGACTTTTTCCTTATACTTCTTAAATATGTTGTCCATGGATTCCTCACAACTAAGAACCATGACATTTTTGATTTCATTAACATAGTCTGGAAAAATGACAAGTGGTTAGATGTGTAAGTCAAGAGTACCAATGCATACATGCTAAACTTACAATATGATGGTGCTGAAGAAACAGTTCTTTCTACTTCATCCCCTGATTTAAATTTTGGGTATGTCACAGAATAATATGGTGTTCCATTTTTGTTTTTTTTGGCTGTCTGTGAAGGTTTTCATTGAAATGAAGTACTGCCAGTACGTGCCTAAACAGAACAAACCATTTACTATGTAATTTTTTTTCTTGACTAGGAACAAGTAAAAAAGCCTTGGCAGATAGAGAACAGTGATTACAAGTTACCTGCAATATGTACCAAGCCAAGAAAAGTGGGTCATCTTTGGATGCCAACCATTTAATGTTGAATGAAAACCTTCGAGACAACTAGTTTGTGCTTCTGAAGATAGTTTTTTAACATCTTTGAGAACAGATTTTTTCAACAGAATGGAGGAAAGTCGCTGATATGATTTAGTTCCTTAAAAAGAATACAATCCCATCTGAAAAGTGGTACATAACATTTTAGACATTTTAACAATCTCCATTCTGTCTTGCTGCCTAAATGTGTGCATGCTCATACCAACTTGAAGCCATAGACGTTCATCTAGCTCTCCATGAGCACATTTAGGAAACAACTCATCTGGATGGTTTCATGCTTGTTTGTAATGTGCCTAGCAATGGATTTCCATTTTGCCACAATCATATCTCCATATCCCATCTTAGTAGACATAGCTGACCAATATAAGTGGTTGCGGATACCTTTAATCCAAAACACCAGCAACTCACAGCCTTTTTCTTTACTAGCCTTTAATATTGTTTTGGAAAGTCCTTTGCAAACATGCCACAAATCATTGAAGTGCTGGGTTTCCTTCTCAGATGTTCGAATCCACTTTGCAATCCCTTTGTGACGATCGCTAATAAATATTGGAATTTGTAGTCCACTATCTTGAAGAAACTTGAAGCATCTTTGAGCTCCATCCAACTCCATGGCATTGCTACTACCAGACTGATTTGACTATACTGTTTGTACAACTTTTTCCGTTGGGCCAACCAGCAACACAATATTGTCCTCCTCGATGATTTTTTGCAGAATTTTGCCTACTCGCCATATTTTAACTTGCGGTGTATCGTTACGTTTGACTAACTTAATAAAAATTATTCTCCTTATATTATGTGCGTTGTGATAATATTGCATGGGTTTTAAAACCACAGACTACGTCAAGGATGCGACACCCATATGATAAGAATGATAAGTCTAATCCAGAAGTTTATAAAAGTAGTTTACATTGGATGATTGGAAATAAGCGCGTTACAGTTAGTTTCTGATAACATTGCGTGTGTGTTAAAACCGCAGACTTCGTCAAGGATGCGGCACCCAGTTTATTGAGAAATATAAGTTAATTCAAGAAGTTTATAAAACTCTAATCGATTGTAAATGTTGCTTACCTATGCGTGTTGCTCATTTGTCACTAAATATACGCAATTTTTGCGAAGAGAAGTTATAAAATATGTAAAACTCCTGTTGGAAATATGCTTGTTCGTATATAATTTTTATATACTAAGAGCTTTAAAATTGAACTTCCGTCCTTTAAATGACGTCACGCACTCAAAGTCAAATTCGCATCAAAACAAGCAAATATGCCATGTTTGAACGCAAAGTTCGATGCGTTCCCATCGACTAAATTCAGTGGGCGATAGCTCAAAATGATCAGTAAAATACAGAGAAAACGTTTGTATCGAAAAACGAAATATGAAAATTTCACTTCAGTAGCACTTTAATCAATTCAATAAGTGGTTTGGCGTCAAAGGAAACAAAAATATTTAAATCACATAGCACTAGTGAAGGAAGCATTTTAAGCTAATTTCGATTAATACCAAAAAACCTGGCGATTTGAAAATTTTTTAAAAGTGGAAATGTCTGAAAGAACAGGAATTAAGAGTCATATGTACTTAAATGAAGATATGATCTTCATAGGTCATGGGTTCGATTCCCGCCCGTTGAGTCACCTGATTTTTTCAGGTTTATGAGACAATTGCTTAAATTGTCCAACAAAGTGCGAAGATCATATCTTCATTTAATTTCAAACACCGCACTGCATAAAACATTCATTTAACAGTCATATGTACGTTAACTCACTTTTCTTATTTATTGAATGCGTCTGTTGATTTTTTTAATTGATAACTTTTCTTTGCATTTAAGAATGTCAACCTCGAAAAAAATAGTTCCATTTTGTACGACATGTTTTCTTAGTTCCTTAGTTCATGTACCGCAACAAACGCACCCTCTAATATAACCATAAGTTTACAGTGTAAACTTATGGTTATATTAGAGGGTGCGTTTGCTGCGGTACTTTACAGTTATATTTACGATTGAGCATTTTACCGGACATTCTGCCTATTCTGATAAGATGAATAATTTATACCGGCGTCAAACAATTAAAGCATAAAATTTTGTAAGCATAAATGTATTGTTTTTTAAAGGATATTTCTTGTAAGATACCCGTTAATTTTTTCTTCATTCCTGTGAAACTACCTTATACAATAAGTACACATTTTAATAAATCATACAAATGACTTATTTCATAACGGCAAAAGATAATAAAATTTATAGAGGAAGTTCGTAAGAGCACTTATGATGAAGTATATACTTTTTTGTTTTCCGGCGAGTTCAAAACATTCTAAGTGTTCATTTGCCAAAGGCTGCATTCCAACATCTAAAAATTTCATTTTACGTAGTAACACTTCTTAATTTATGCAAAGAAAAAACAAAAATCTCATCATAGGTAAGACTATTCTTTGGTAAAATGAACAAGAGTTAACTTTCTTTGTACAATATCTGTTGCCAATAATCCATTTTCTTACGTTCAAATATCCTTTCAACTTATACATTTTTTGACCGCCTTTGAAGCTTAAAAAGACTTTTTGGTATGCGACAACCGACGTTTTTCCGTCAACTTTGCTACTCTTACGCTTTGTTTGAGTAAACTTCCTGTGGCTATTTTTGAAAAATAGACTTCCCTACTTGCTTTACTTGGGGTATAGACCCTTTGCACATGACGTCACAGCTGATGTTCAGCTTCTTCTGGGGGTCAAGTAAAGTGCTGCCATTTATAAATAAGTAATAGGAAGTAAAACTTTCGGTCATCATGGTTCACTTTTGCGCTGTTTTTGCATGCTCGAATCGATCTAATAGAGAAAAGAATAGACGGTTTTTTCGCCTACCTGCTGTCAAAAGTAATGTGAATGTGAACAAGAAGCAACTTCAACTTGAAAGGCAAAAGGAATGGCTTCGAACAATTCGCAGGGAAGATCTTACGCCACAAAAGTTTGCGAATGCTCGTGTGTGTAGCGACCACTTCATATCAGGTTAAAAACACTTGTCTTTATCAGTACCAAGATACTAGTGTTCAGCTAAATGGTTAGCTAAATAAGTGATGTGTTATTTGTGATAAATATCTTTGTATTATCTGCGTATATTTTGTATTATATTTTTGTATGGCATTTTGTATTCCATGCAAGGAAGCAGTCAGCAAATGGGATTTTGCCTTAAGTTTCGATCATCCTTTCTTGTAAATGTCATAAAATAGAATGAATTAATTCCTACAGGCAAACCAGCAGACCTACAAAAGAAAGATGACCCAGACTGGGCACCAAGTCAAAATCTTGGCCACAACAATGTGAAAAAAGAGAAACACAGAACGATCGTCTCGCTACCAAGGGATAATTGAAAAGAAGAGAAGATCTGAAACTGCTAATGCCCTTATAGCAATGTCAAGCGAGCAGCCCAATGAGGTTGTTGATAAAATGGACACCTCTGAACCAAAGGCAAATGAAATGTCAACACAGACTGATAAAACTGTTAATGAGCTGAGGTTACTTGAAGATGAGGTGGATTTTCTAAGGAAGGAAAATTCTGATTTAAAGAAAAAATTATTGCAAAAGGAACTAAATGAGGATGCATTTAAAGATGATGATGAAAAGGTACTCTTCTATACAGGTTTACCTACCTGGAAGCTTCTTTTGTGCCTTTACAACTTTGTGTCTGGCTTCTTGTCACAATCATCCAGGTGTATGCTTAGCCCTTTCCAGAGACTCATTCTTACATTAATGAGAATGAGACTCAACCTTTCTGGTAAAGACTTAGCCTATAGGTTTGGTGGAATTCACGAAGCAACTGTTTCCAGAGTTTTTATTCAAGTGATGGATATTCTACATAGCAGGCTTTGTCCACTTATCCATTGGCCTGAACGAGAAGCCTTATTAAAAACAATGCCCATGGATTTTCGCAAGAACTGCCCAGCATGTGCTGTGATAATTGATTGTTTTGAGATTTTCATCGACCGTGCATCTAATCCTTTAGCCAGGGCACAGACATACTCATCATACAAACACCATAACACTGTCAAGTATTTGATAGGAATTACTCCCCAAGGTAGTGTAAGCTTCATATCTGATGGATGGGGTGGTCGTGTCAGTGACAAACACTTAACAGAAGAATGTGGTCTTCTAGAAAAGCTTACCCCAGGGGATGTAATTCTAGCAGACAGAGGGTTTGACATACAAGAATCTGTTGGATTGTATTGTGCTCGTGTAAAGATACCAGCTTTTACAAAAGGAAAAAAGCAATTAAGCGGGATTGAGGTGGAACAAACTAGGAAGATTGCTAATGTAAGAATCCATGTGGAACGTGTAATTGGCAATATTCGAAAAAAATATGGAATCCTTTCTGCAACTCAACCAATAGACTTTGTTGTTTCAAAAGGAAGAAAGACCACACTTGATAAAATAGTAACAGTCAGCTGTGCATTGAATAACATGTGTGATTCAGTAGTCCCATTTGAATGAATGTTTATTATTTAGAGGCAATAGTGGATCTAGCGTAGGTCAGAATACGTTGATATAAATATATTTCCCATTTAAAATACTTTACAACTAACATTATCGATGATGTTCTAGTTCTTAAATATTTTTTTGAAATTTCTAACCAGCAACATTGCTGTTAAATTATTTTGAATTTAAAATTAGCTACTATAATGTATTCTGACCTACCCTGGATCTGCTAATGTATGTAGCTTTATACATTGAGTCGTATTCTTTTTTCCTGATGTGTGCGAGAGTAAAATTTCCCAAGCAGCTCGGGAAGGATCCCTTTGATAATAAATTTCTCTACTCGAGATACATTTTCTTTCCAAAACTTCTCATCTGGCAAAATTCTTTCTATGTAGAGCATTTTCTCACTCCACACAACAAAATCACAATAGCTGCGTGCACTGCAAAACAATTGAGCTTGGACCTGAAAGAAAATGACATTCTAACATTACTGTTTAGTACATGTATGCAATATATATTTGTGTGTTGACTCAGCTGATACTGATTACAATTAACCACACATTTTCGCACCTATCTGAAAATGTACCTGATAACAATAACAATGCTTCCTTTTAAGCCGTTTTCCAACTGGTGTTTCCTCCAGACAAAAGTCCTTTTCAGCTAGTGATGTGTCTAATGTGTCATCTTTATGGCAATAGGGACACTAAACACATACAATAACAAAAAATTGCTAAGGCTCTAATTATTGATATAATTAATACTCCATTATGTTATATGCTTAGATATATCATGATCAAATACCTTAATCTCACAGACACCATTGCCACAGCACTTGCAATTGACCAGCCCATCAGGACTTGCACCAATGAAGCCATGATCAACATTAATGAAGAAGCCAGATTCTTCTACTTTGAAGGCCTCATGTTTAGTTCTTTGAAAGCTTTCATATACATCCCTAGCTTGCTTTTCATGGTGACACCCCCATCGTGTAGCAGCAGTGCTAAACTTTCCTAGCTCAGGATGACAAATGCTCAAAATTAAAGATTTTGATTGGGCTATCTGGGCATGTCCGTGAGGCAGCTTTGAATCTTGAGGCAGTCACCCGGCCAGTCCTCATTCTGAACCAAAGTCTGGATTCAGACTGCTGTCTGGTCATCTCTTCAACAATTCTTTGCTGCTCTGGAAGGACTGTATAGAGTAGTAGCTTGTGGGGAGCAACCTCTATCAAGGTAGCAAGGTCAGCACCTAACAAGCTTTTGTCATAAATATTAGACATCACAATTGGCAAATCAGGGTAACAGGACTTTGGAACAAATGGGTCAGAGAATTCCTTACCTACGGAAAGTATGACAGGTTTTGACTCAGTAGCTTGTAATTCTGCATAAAACTTTGACAGTTCACTTTCTGTAGGTGGAGGCGGAGGAATTGTTTTGGAAATGGCTGTGGGAGATGTTGAAGCTCCATATTTTGAGAAGCAGATGTGTCTTACTCTTGCATATGGTACTTTCTTCACAGCTGAGGGAAGGACCCAGTAGGCTTTTTTGTCAGTGACAGTAAGAGAGTCCCTTTTTCTGACACCAGCCTCTAAAGCCCAGAGCAATGATGCTACATGGGAGCAGCTTTCCCCTAAACCAGCCATACAATCACAGTGACCAGATAAAATCTTCCCTTCCTTCTCACAGATAACCCATGGAGTCAGTGGCTTCTCAGACATTTTTTGCGAGTGATTTACCTAGATAGCAACAAATGATTGATAAGAAATATGGAGGGTGTTTGAACAAATCATTGCTAATTTTTAAATGTAATAAATTTAGCGTTTCACATTTATCTATTAGAAATAGAAGCAGATATCGCTTATGAAAAGTGAAGATAATTAATTAACACACATACCTTTGCAATCATCAGCCGATTATCGCCAAATTCTTTTACCAAAACTTCTCGAACCCAGCCATTCGCGAAATTCTGGTAGCACGAAAGACTTTTGTAGTTCATAAGCTCGTCCTGTGTGTATGAGCTTACCGAAAACAATAAATACATGCCCACGTTTATGTAAGAAACATTCGGCCATAATTCCAAATAATCTTCCCAGTCGTTTTTTGGTATCTCGTATGGGTCAACAGAATGTATCAATGAAATTTTTGCCTCATATCTCTCCCTACATTCTTTTGACCTTATACTAGCGTAGTAACCGGGCAGGAAACCTTTATGAGTTGGTTTTTTTGGAGGCATTTTACTAAATTGGACCTTTCACACAGTATTGCTTATAGAATAAATCATTGGCTTGCCACAATCATAGAATAGAGAATACATTGAATAGAGAATACAATGCCATTGACCCCCAGAACATAACTTCCGGCGGACGTCGCAAAAATGTGACGTCAATGCAATGGGTCTATAAAGCAAAGCGGTTTGCTGTCACAAGTTGCAGTCTTGCAGATATTAGCAGAAGAAGGAGAAAGAGAAACATCTAAAACAATTGTGGAGACATTTTACTGAGTCGAACAAAGCTAACTTCTAAATAAAATAAAGGTAAATATTGATGCATACATACTTCACCATTTGTATAAGCTCATGTCATCGTATATCTAGCCACATATAGATTTTATTGAATATCAATCAATCAAGTATTTCTCTATTGCCCAATAATGTCATGATTGATTAGATTTGTTATACTTGCAAAATTTTTTTTTAAATCTGTGTTTGTAAAGTGACACCTAGACTAATAATTAAAATACTAAAACAACGTTTATAGCTCTTTATCTAAGTATATATCGATTTAAGCGCACATTTAGCTAATATCTGCTTTGAGTTCACGAAATGTAAGACTACGTGGCAAACAAATTTGAAGAATTACTGTCTTTTAAAAAACTCCAGTACAAATAAGCCAATCCACGAGAAGAAGCTCTTACATCAATATAAAAACAGTGATCATTAATAAATATTTAAGTTACCTAATCAACGTACACAGAAACCGTAATTCAAACAAACTAGCTTCACACAAAATGAAGTAGGTTACGCATGTAACTATTCGTTCTCAGATGAAGTACTTGATCGCTAACTATCTCTGTGATACTTATTTCGATCCTGTAAAATTTCTACAGCTGTTTAGCTACGAACATTGAAAATTAGCAACAAAAGCAAAAATTTGCCTGTTTGCACAACTTTCACCGTTTTTCTTACTAATCACAGAATACTTCCTTGATCGTTAACTGCTACAAAGCTTAATTTGAAAAGAGCTTTGAACAACATAAACGATGACAGGTATTTTGCGGCATGAAGTAGCCATGCACTATGAACCAAGATCATGCTGCTCCAATTAGATGCACGAATCATTTAGTATGACAATGAAAACTGTGGCCTTCATCATACATCATGTTCTGAAATTAATATAAAGAATAAATTGCTCCGATAAATAAAGACAAAGAGATTTTCCATTACCCTTTCATTTGAGGGGAAGAGATGATCTAATCTCAATCAGAAAAATGTCAATAACTAGGTTTAAGTAACATTTAACGATTTAAACGCCTGCATATTGTCTAGCCTGTTAAATGAAAAGACCATAAATTTGAAATATAACATTGTCTAGCGTATGATCAAGGACTGGAAAAAAACACAGTAGACGTCTACCAGCATAATAGTGAAAATAAATTCTTGGCAGATAAGATTTATGTTGGAATCTTTGTCATGCGGAAGTATTGATAATCAATCTGATTGTATGGCTGCCGAAAAATGCTAACATTATCATGTTGTTAGAAAGTACTGATAAAGTGTAACCACGTGTAGACGTAATGAAATATACAGGAAGATAACAACATTAGGAGCTTTATTAACATCAGGAACACAGTAACATTAAGAACATTAGAAGCCTCGGAGAATTACATAGGGACATTATATCGACGGAACATTATATAAAATAAATTCGGGCATAGCAAAACACGCATGGGATTATCGACATTAAGTTGATTTTGAGAATACTATTGTTGTTAATAAAGGAAAGTACTGTATTACTAAGACATTACAATCATGGCACACTTCATCGACTCCAAAAGCTTTTGGATATCGTCACATTTTGTAACCAAATGCTAGAGAATAAATATAAAGAGTTAAAACCACCCAACATTTATTCTATATGTTATCAGTAATATATTATATTGAAGCATTGTTGAACATACGGAAAGCAATCGACTGTTGTAGATGTTCTGCACGTTAATTGTTGTTGTACAATCATTATGCACTGTATAATGAAGGCCATGCAATAACAGTTTAATTTAATTTTCATTTTAATACTGAATTTGGGGAATCCCTCTGCTAAATACACGCAGTGTGTGAGGGCACTATGAAAAATATTCTTGCTGATAACACCCCTACCTTTTTCTTTCAAGTAGAACTACAACTTAGTATTCGAACAGAATGAGTACTTCTGAATCAAAGTTTCATACAATAAAACTAAATATATGTATGAATTAAACCAAAGGCAATGTGCATAATGACAATGCAATGATATTTCTAGCTTGTTGAAAAATTGCTTTAAAACTGCTTGATTTTGCTAATGAGCTTGCTAACCATCCTGCAATGACACAATGTGTATGTGAAATTTTATTTGACGTAATGTATACTCTTCATTGCTAAAATGCTTGACATATAGATTTTGCTTCTTGCAAAAGCAACAAACATGGTACATTTTCATGCTTCCTGCAGCTGCTTGTTAGTAAAGATTTTAAGTTTTTCTTACTACTCCGAATTAAAGTTTCCCATACTTGTTCTGTTTTCATACCATGTAAATTGAAAGAAACCCAATAGCAAATTTAAAGTTGGATCAGTTTAAGATTGAAATAACTAATGTTCGAAATAAAAAAATATTTATATTTGTACTTAAATAGTCTCAGCATAAACGTCATACACATACTTAACAATGTGAAGTATTTGGTACCATACTTTGAAAGTGAAGGAAAGCCTCACATATCTACAGTTAAATTCAATTCTTTTAGGAAAAATTAACAAAACATTGCAGTCTTAACATGAAGTTGGCAATTGCTCTTTCTACATTAACTCTTGCATTTGTTTGTGGAACAACATTAGTGAAGAGTATTCTCCCATTTTGGATTCGAACGACAACACCAATGCCCACTTTACCTCCAACTAGTGACAAGCAGTTTTATGACAGTAAGTAAATGCTATGAACTTGTTACGTGGTAGTGAAAAGATATAGTTCATCATCTTGTTCTTCTTTTTGAAAGAAACTTGATGCGTAGCCATAAGCATAAACACCCTTATGAAATACAAAAGATTTAAGATAGCTATTTAAGGAATATCTTAAAAATAAGAAATATCTAAAAAGTAAAGGATATTTGCTGTGTTTTCACCGACTTATGCAAACCACTAACACCTTGAAGAGAACTGGAGAGCGCAGATCAGTGCAAGCCAGGACAGAAGGCTCTGGGTTGCACCTGCTCGAGAACTCTCACAAGCGTCTGCAAGGTTTACGTATACGCCAGTGCAAAGACGAAAAACATCTTTTGTTTCTTTTATAAAATTACAATATAAATTGTATTCATGGTTGATTTGTAAATCGTAAAATCATCAATCATGAAATCATCAATAAATGATTGATTGATTAAATTATTTGGTTGAGCTCATATCTGTTTTTGCATTGGCTAATGCACCACTATAACCAATCATTCTACAAGTTTTACGGCTTTTTGTGGTTTTAACGAACAATTTATTAATGAAATATTCATTTTAGAATTCAAACAAATTCCTCCAAAAAATGCCACAGCAGATAAATTGTTTCATCTGGTAGATAATTGGCGAGAAGTTTCACCAATATAACGGGAATTACATTACACAGACATAAAGGAACATACTCACACAGACAAAAACTCCACTATCTACAAACATCTTCAAGCCTCTCCTTCATGTAAAAACAAATTCTCACCTTCCTGTTTTAAAATCATCGACACTGATCAATCCACTTTCTCACTCAAAATCAAGGAAGCTCTACACATTAATAAAACTAATCCCGATTTAAATATCCAAGTCCACCACTACAACACTATATTTACTTTATAATAATACTTTTGTTATAAATTCTTAATACTTATTTTTAGAACTTACGTTATAGTTATTAATACTTAATACTCATTGTAATTAATTTACTCATATCATATTATGTATCATATTACTTAACACTAATCATTCTGCACTGAAGATGGCATTCTGATAATGTCGAAACATGTTTGCTCTCAAAAAAATCGTCGTTTTTCTCAAGTGTTTTTTAAAATTGCTGCTAATTAGAAATTATAGAATACAATACGCCTGACTTTCAAATTGACGACTCCACCCGGTCGTGAACAGTGCGTGCAAGTCAAGGCATCATTGACTAATAGAAAATATAGTATTAAAGTAGTACAAAACCCCCCGGTAATTTACAAAAAATGAGTCGCGAGAAGAGGCTTTGGCCAATGAAATAAATGCATATAGTCATCAGATGGTGCGAGATTTGTGCGCTAAACCGCTACCTCCGTAAACTATAATGCGTTTCAAATAACAACTTCAGATAAAACTGAAATGCAACTCAGACTATATAAAAAAGAAAATACGTAATTACTCATCACATTGGTGACCTTTGTACTCAAAATAGATTAACTATTTCTTTAGGAAAATACGCATGTCGCATGACTCTTTTCACATACCCTAAATCCTTTCCAGATAACAACTGCTGAACATATTTTTTTGTAGTTTTGTCTCATTCAAATACGTAAGTACACACATGTGGTCGGCGATTAGCTCCCCCCAAAAACAAGCTTAATGGCATCTGCTGCACATTTTGTTCACTTGTATACTTGAGAAAAGACGTATTTGAATATATTTTTGGGCACTCAACATGTTTTCGTGGAAATGGTGAAAGAGATATAAAATAACACATAAAAACGAACAATAATTATTCGTCTGGGTGTTGTCTTATTTGGAACAACTTCATTTACATGATATGTTTTAAACATAAGCAGTTTTCCAGTTGCATAGGGTGGAACACATAATTTTATACATTCAAAAAAATGCCACCCCCAGTCAATTTCAAAAAACCCCACTTAGTATATTTTTAGTCAAATTACAAGGTTCGTGCCAAGAAATTTCATTAAAGAGTTTGTGGAAGGAAGCAATATAATGTCAAAACAAATCAATGTTGCTCAAATAATTATAATATTGTCAGAATATTTGAAACATGTCCTGGTGATTGAGTAATAATTGATGTCTTTAACATATTAAAGATTTTTGTTAACTATGGAAAACGGAGACTTTTAAACTAACTTTAATTTAGGTTGAAAACTTATTAAAAATTTTAAACTAATGCTGTTCAAAAACTCTAAAAGGAGCTCTTTGTTGATTTTATTGCTAGATTTTGAGGAAAGTTTAACTACTTAATATTTATTAAACAAAACTGAAACGTTTCTATTTAAAGCAAAAGATTTTTCTGATGTGCTAATGTCCACTTAGTTCATTGGGATATATTTGATTAGGACGTTAAACAAAACTATTTCTTTTTTAAGACGTAAGACAGACTCAATTAACGGTATGAGCTCTTATAAATTACTGTGTAAGAATCACTTCCCGTCAAATATATCTTCATTTTAAAAAATGAATTTACATAAGGGTGAGGTTACGGAAGGAGTGGCGGATTAAGACTACGTCAAATATATCTTCATGCTACAAAAATGAATTTACATAAAGGGTGAGGTTTCGGGAGCATTTGCGGATTAAGACTACGTCAAATATATCTTCTTGTTACAAAAATGAATTGACATAAAGGTTGAGGACTTGAGATTACGGAAGCAGTTGTGGATTACGACTACGTCAAATATATCTTCATGTTAAAAAAATGAATTTACATAAAGGGTGAGGTTACGGGAGCATTTGCAGATTAAGACTACGTCAAATATATCTTCTTGTTACAAAAATGAATTGACATAAAGGTTGAGGACTTGAGATTACGGAAGCAGTTGTGGATTAAGACTACGTAAAATATATCTTCATGTTACAAAAATGAATTTACGTAAAAGGTGAGGTTACGGGAGCAGTTTCGGATTAAGACTACGTCAAATATATCTTCATGTCATATAAATGAATTTACAGGAAGGGTGAGTTTACGGAAGCAGTGGCGGACTAAGACTACGTCAAATATATTTATTATGTTACAAAAACAAATTTACATAAAGGGTGAGGTTACGAAAGCAGTGGCGGATAAAGACTACTTCAAATATATCTTCATGTTATAAAAATAAATTTACATGAAGGGTGAGGTTACGGAAGCAGTGGTAAATTAAGACTACGCCAAATATATCTTCATGTTATAATAATAAATTGACATAAATGGCGAGGTTACGGGAGCAGTTTCGGATTAAGACTACGTCATATATATCTTCCTGTTATAAAAATAAATATACATAATAGGCGAGGTTACGGGAGCAGTTTCGGATTAAGACTACGTCAAATATATCTTCATGTTATATAAATAATTTTACATAAAGGGCGGGTTACGGGAGCAGTTTCTGATTAAGACTACGTCAAATATATCTGCATGTTATATAAATAAATTTACATATAGGGCGAGGTTACAGGAGCAGTTGCGAATTAAGACTACGTCAAATATTTCTTGATGTTATAGAAATGAAGTTACATAAAAGGTGAGGTTACGGAAGAAGTCGCGGATTAAGGCTACATCAAATACATCTTCATGTTAAGAAAATGAATTTACATAAAAGGTGAGGTTACGGAAGCAGTGTAGGATTAAGACTACGTCAAATATATCTTAATGTTATAATATTAAATTTACATAAAGGGTGAGGTTACGGAAGCAGTGGCGGATTAAGACTACGTCAAATATATCTTTATGTTGTAAAATAAATTTACATGAAGGGTGAGTTTACGGAAGCAGTGGCGGATTAAGCCTACGTCAAATATATTTTCATGTTACAAAAATGAATTTACATAAAGGGTGAGGTTACGGAAGCAGTGGCGGATTAAGACTACGTCAAATATATCTTCATGTTATAAAAATAAATTTACATGAAGGGTGAGGTTACGGAAGCAGTGGCGGATTAAGACTACGCCAAATATATCTTCATGTTATAATAATAAATTTACATAAAGGGCGGGGTTACGGGAGCAGTTGCGGATTAAGACTACGTAAAATATATCTTAATGTTATAAAAATAAATATACATAAAGGGCTAGGTTACAGGAGCAGTTGCGAATTAAGACTACGTCAAATATATCTTCATGTTGTATAAATGAATTTACATACAGGGTTAGGTTACGGAAGCAGTGGCGGATTAAGACTACGTCAAATATATCTTTATGTTATAAAAATAAATTTACATGAAAGGTGAGGTTACGGAAGCCGTGGCGGATTAACACTACGTCAAATATATCTTAATGTTATAAAAATAAATATACATAAAGGGCGAGGTTACGGGAGCAGTTTCGGATTAAGACTACGTCAAATAAATCTTTATGTTATAAAAATAAATTTACATCAAGGGCGGGGTTACGGGAGCAGTTGCGTATTAAGACTATATCAAATATATCTTCATGTTACAAAAATGAATTTACATAAAGGGTGAGGTTACGGGAGCAGTTGCAGATTAAGACTACTTTAAATATATCTTCATGTTAAAAAAATGAATTTACATAAAGGGTGAGATTACGGGAGCAGTTGCGGATTAAGGCTACGTCAAATATATTTTTATGTTACAACAATGAATTGACATAAAGGTTGAGGACTTGAGATTACGGAAGCAGTGGCGGATTAAGACTACGTCAATAAATATCTTGATGTTATGAAAAAAAACTTACATAAAGGGCGAGGTTACGGGAGCAGTGGCGGATTAAGACTACGTCAAATATTTCTTGATGTTATAGAAATGAATTTACATAAAAGGTGAGGTTACGGAAGAAGTCGCGGATTAAGGCTACATCAAATACATCTTCATGTTAAGAAAATGAATTTACATAAAAGGTGAGGTTACGGAAGCAGTGTAGGATTAAGACTACGTCAATTATATCTTTATGTTATAAAAATAAATTTACATGAAGGGTGAGTTTACGGAAGCAGTGGCGGATTAAGTCTACGTCAAATATATTTTCATGTTACAAAATGAATTTACATAAAGGGTGAGGTTACGGAAGCAGTGGCGGATTAAGACTACGTCAATTATATCTTCATGTTATAAAAATAAATTTACATGAAGGGTGAGGTTACGGAAGCAGTGGCGGATTAAGACTACGTAAAATATATCTTAATGTTATAAAAATAAATATACATAAAGGGCGAGGTTACAGGAGGAGTTGCGAATTAAGACTACGTCAAATATATCTTCATGTTATATAAATGAATTTACATAAAGGGTTAGGTTACGGAAGCAGTGACGGATTAAGACTACGTCAAATATATCTTTATGTTATAAAATTAATTTACATGAAAGGTGAGGTTACGGAAGCCGTGGCGGATTAAGACTACGTCAAATATATCTTAATGTTATAAAAATAAATATACATAAAGGGCGGGGTTACGGGGCAGTTGCGGATTAAGACTACATCAAATATATCTTCATGTTAAAAAAATGAATTTACATAAAGGGTGAGGTTACGGGAGCAGTTGCGGATTAAGGCTACGTCAAATATATCTTTATGTTACAACAATGAATTGACATAAAGGTTGAGGACTTGAGATTACGGAAGCAGTGGCGGATTAAGACTACGTCAAATATTTCTTGAAGTTA